ACCAGAACAGAAGTGCCTTTGCTCTCTCCTTTTCAAACCCATTGTCACTACGTTACCCCACCCCCAAGCACGTCAACTTCTCCAGCTTCCTACACTGTGGCTCCTCAAGGCATGGCACCAAGCTACAGTACCCACGAAGCCCCAGAAAGTGCCAGCAAATGTTTTGTTTGCTCAGCTACCTTCTCTACCAAATTGGTTGCCCAGACCAACCTTTCACCTTTTGCACCCAGCCACCGTGGCCATATTGGACAAAGGAGAAGCACCCCGCCGCTTTGCTTTGCTGCAACCCAGCCTCTTCTCACTGAACATTTACTACGGTTGTCTCCCTGACCCTTGTGCTGATTTGGGAATGCTGTGCTGTGTTCGAAATGCTGAGCTATCTCGTAATCCGTAAGACGGTGACTTAATTTCCCTAGCAACCCAGCCATTTCACAGGCTTCAATTCCACGTTCCAGATCTCCAGGCCAGATGGCAGGGCCCTATTTTTCAGGCCCTTCCAGAAGGCCAGCAAGCGTGGATCCAGTCTGATCTTAGTGCAAATGATGTTCCAAGAGGCAACTGCCACATCAGAAAAGCTCTCTTCTTGCATCCTGTTAAATGCCGTTGCTTTGCGGATGGGACCTACCTCGCCTTCCTGCTGCATCTGGAAGCTACATGCTGATTGTGAAATCACACCTACCTATCCCATTGGCAATATCTGAAAGAACCCAGCTCCATAACATGTAAAACTTTATAGTTCATTTACCAGCACCGTCAGTTAGACCTAGAAGCAAACTAGTAGCTTGGGAAGTAGAAGCATAATGTGTGTTGATCTAGATTAGGGGTGTCAAACTCGATTTCATTGAGGGCTACATCAAGGTTGTGTTTGACTGTGGGGGACCAGGGTGGGTGTGGCCAAGGTAGGTGTGGCCAGCTCCATGTCACTTGTGTCGGGTGCACCTGTGGCGGCCCAAGTGCTTTGCCAGCAAAAACGGGCTCCGTTTTCGGCAACGATGGCCTCCTGCAACCCTCTGCCAGTGAAAACGGAGGTCAGGAGGGCTGCCCATGGCCCTCCCAAACTCCATTTTCACTGGCAGAGGCACCACATGTTGGTCCTTTGCTGTTTCCAGGGTGGCCCCGTGGGCCAGATGTGAGCACCTTGTGGGCTGGATCTGGGCCCTGGACCTTGAGTTCGACACCCCTGATCTAGATGCACACATCACTTTCTGTGCCTCCGTATTTTGTACCAGTTGAAGCTTCCAGACATTCTTCAGGAACAACTTCCTGCAGAGCATGTTACAGTAATCCATACAGGACATAATCAGGCCATGAATGACTGAATATAAGTCTATGAATCAACACAACATAGTTTATTAATTTAGTTAACAAATTTATATAGCCATCCAGTTCACACCTAGGTGACTCCAGGCATCTTAAATTGCACAAAGATCCTCCTGTTCACACCTGCCACCTGCTCATTGCTCTTCCTGCTTCCCAGAATGAGTGTAAAAAATGAATTTTGTAGTAAACCTGCATTCCCTACATTCCCTAGAATGTTAATAGAATTTTGGACACTTTTGATATATAAGGGTTTCAATGCTATGCAGTGTAAGACACTGAGTTGATACAAATTCAGCCTGGTACATGTTTTACAACCACAGTTTATTTTGTTCAACTTTCATACTAAGCCATAATACAGTTTGGTTCAGTATGTTAGTATTCAGTCACTTCTTTAAAATCAAAGGAGAAAATATTTTCATGTCTAGCTAATGTGTACATCACTGGGGAGAGCAACATACTTACATATAGATTTTTCAAATATTACCAATACTGACTACACACACACAGCATACTTATCTGCGTTCAGGTTCCCCACACACAAGGTACTGGATCTGAAGTGTGGCATAATTCTAGTTCTCAAATTTGACACAATCATAACTCTGTAAAATGATCAACCTCACCCCATCTCTATTAATAAAACAAAAGTGTTAACTGGAGTTAGGATTGAACAAGGAAGGAACATGCCACTTAATCTTCACAATGTAGGATTTCTCACTTAAAATTTGATCTGGGAGCCTGAGGAGTAAAACCCAGAGTGAATTCTGCTTTGCCTGGACAATAAAATGTGACTTCTGTCAAAACCTACTCTTACTTTGCCTAGCATCTCTGCAGTTGGCCTGAATAGGCTCAACGGCAAACAAAATTTTACAGTCCTTCTACTTTGCCTGTATAGGCCTGTTATTATTATTATTTTTTAAACAATCTTGTGGCCTTCCTCTAAGATACTTGCAATCTTCCTAAGGAGGGCAAGACTAAGAGTTTGAAATCCTTTACAAAAGGCGTGTTGTCACATGATCCATGATTGGACTATTTTTGCTATTTTATTTATTTTTATTTATTTGATTTGTCAATCGCTTACAAGATAATAGGTATAAGTATAAACATAGTTATGAATACATGGATACATATAAGAAAAATAAAAGAAACAATAGGACAGGGATGGTAGGCACATTGGTGTGCTCTTAGGAAAGGGGTGAGGTCAATATAGACAGTCTAAGGTTAAAGTTTTGGGGGTTTGGGGAAGAAACCACAGAGTCAGGTAGAGTATTCCAGACATTGACCACTCTGTTGCTGAAGTCGTATTTCCTGCAATCAAGTTTGGTGCAGTTAACCTTGAGTTTGTATCTATTGTTTGCTCTTGTATTGTTATGGTTGAAGCTGAAGTATTCATTGACAGGTAGGACATTGCAATGTATGATTTTATATACTATACTTAGATCGGACTGAAGGCAGCATAGTTCTAGGTTTTCTAGGTCTAGAGTTTCGAGTTTGGTGGCATAAGGTATTCTGCAATGAGTAGAGGAGTGGAGAACTCTTCTTGTGAAATATTTCTGGTCTTTCTCAACTGTGTTAATATCTGATACGTAATGTGGGTTCCAGACTGATGAGCTGTATTCAAGTATTGGTCTAGCAAATGTTTTGCTCTAGTTAGTACTGAGATATTACCAGAGAAAAAGCTATGTAGGATTAGGTTAACAACTCTTAATGCTTTTTTGGCTGTGTAGTTACAGTGGGCTCTAGCACTTAAATCATTAGAGATGAGTACTTCAAGGTCCTTGACAGAGTTTGAATCATCAACAAGGTCTTGACTATTCAGCTTGTATTTTATTTTCTGATTTTTTTTGCCAATATGTAAGACAGAGCATTTATTTGTTGAGATTTGAAGTTGCCATTTGTTTGACCATTCTGATACATAGTTGAGGTCTTTTTGAAGGGTAGCAGTATTGTTTATCATGTTGAATAGCTTTACGTCATCAGCGAAGAGAATGCAGTTGCTCTTAATATGATCACAGAGGTCATTTATGTAGAGTATGAAGAGAGTTGGTCCTAGAACACTGCCTTGGGGGATACCCACTCTTGACAGGTACAGAATTTGCTAAGATACTCCCAATTTTGACCATTTGCTGTCTGTTTGACAGGAATGCTTCTATCCAGTTATGCAGGTGTCCAAAGATACCATAAGATTTTAGTTTTAGGAGTAGTTTCTTGTGTACCACTGAATCAAAGGCTTTACAGAAGTCTATGTAGGTTGTGTCTATTGCTTTGCCCTGATCAAGTTGTGTAGTCCATATGTTTTTGCAGTGTAGGATTACAGGATAGTTTTTTTCTGAAACCAAATTGTAGGTTGTTTGTCTCTAAGTGGAGGATAATGGATTGGTTAATAATTGATTCCATGACTTTACAGATGACGCAGCATAAAGAGATTGGTCTGTAATTTTCAACTAGGCTGGGCTCTCCCTTTTTGAAGATGGGGATGACCGCCACTTGTGACCATAGGTTTGGCAAGGAGCTGGTCCTGAAAGATTTTTCAAAGATTATGCTTAGAGGTTCAGCTATGGCAGTGGATAGCTTTTTTAAGAAGTAGACACATATTTCATCCAGTGCAATAGATAGAGATGGTTTTAGATTGCATAGTGCTTTTTCAACATTGTCTTCTGTAAAATTGATATGTATTAGATCATTGCAGTTGTCTGTGGTTTGACTAGGAAATACTGGGCTTGATCCATTGCTGTTTACCTATACTGAGCCAAAGAATGTGTTAAAAGAGGTTGGCTTTGATGGTGTTGTTGTTGCAATCTTTACCATATTTAACATATTTGGTGACTATCTTTTCAAGCAGCACCCCACACGAACCGAAGAGCCATATCGGAGAAAACAGAAACAACGCAGTATTGAGGGAGTCCTTGAGGTGGTCTCTGAGTTCAATAGTTTTCTTTCAGACATTTCATTACCCAAACTAGATAACATCATCAGTGCTAGGCATGTTAGCTAGTTTGGGTAAGGAAACGTCTAAAAGAAAACAAACTCAGAGTGACAGCATCAAGGTTCCCCAATTTCAGCCACAACCACACAATTTCTGAGCCACAAATATTCTTTATTAAAGCAGTATTGTCAATGGTAAGAGACGCACATCGCCGTTTCCATTAAGCGGGGGCGGGGGGGACATTCCTCGGATCTGGACTCCATCGCCTCATAACTGAAGTCTGAGGAAAGCCTGGGTAAACGATCCTGTGCCCTCCCCAACCCCCCCTCCCTCTCCCCAATCACGTTAGCGGCTCCCTCTCCAGCTTCGCCTCGCGAACGAGCATCCCCCCGCCTCGCGCCTCGCCGCCCCCCCTCCTCCCCCCGCCCCTTCATATACAACGAGCCGCTGCAGGAGCGCCGCCTGTTTTATGGGCCGGTCGCGCGCGCGCGAGCGAGCGCCCCCGCCCGCCTCGCGCCGGCAGGTGACTGATTGGAGGTTGGTTCACGCGCGCAATCTTGCCAGGAGCAGCGGTTGGTCAGGCGGCTGACCGGCCATCGCGGGGAAGGGAAGCGGTTGCTCGCCGGCCGCGTCTCGTGGCCTCCTCCTCCTCCTCCTTCTTCTTAGCCCTCCGCTTCCCGCGCGGTCGGCGCGAGCTCCTGAGTGGGGGGGGGGGGCATGAGGAGGCGGCGGCTTCGAAAGGGGGCGGTGATGGCCATTGCTGCCGCCGCGGCTGCCCGGCGCCTACCTCCGCCTCCTTTCCCCTCCTCAGCTCCAGACCGCGGGGCTCTGTGCGCCGGCCAGCCTTAGGAGGGCCGCGGCATCCATCCATCCATCCACCACCAGCAGCGGTGGGAGGCGGAGAGCGAGCTAAGCGCCCCCCCCTCCCCGCCGCCGCCGCCACCTTGTTTGTCCAGCTGCCGTCCTCGATGTCTCCCCCGCCGGGGGGAGCTCACCCCACCCGCGCCCCTTCGGCCCTTAGAGGCCTCGTGGGAGCCCGGCCTGAGCCTCCCGTTTCCCGAGGCTGCTGCCCAAATCAGACACGACTCCTGAGGCGGCGGCCCAGCAACGACAAAGCCGGCTTGGTCGTCTCCCCCGCGGCGACCATGAAGGCGGAGGCGGGAGACCACATGATAAACCTGTCGGTCCAGCAGGTGCTGAGCCTCTGGGCTCACGGCACATCGCTTCGGCACCTTACGGGTAAAGGCCTGGGACGGGCTTAGCGGGACGTTGGGGCGGGGAGGTAGATGGTAGAGGGTGATCGTTGGGCGGCATTGGGAAAAAGGGAGAGGGGCTTCTTCTCAATGGGAGACAATGTGGTGCTGCCCAGATGTTTAGGATCAGTGCCAGGGGCTGATGGGATATGTGATCTAAAAATGGGAAGGAGGAGAAGCATTCACCCACCCTGCCTACCCATATTCTCAACCTGACAGGTAGCAGGTCTCAAGTTCCCTGGTGAAAAGGTGAGTAGAAGTGGCGGGTTGGCGTTTTAATAGCTGGTGCTAATTTCATAATGGTTGGTATAGAGGCGTTAGTGTGGGTGAGGTGAGGTGATTTTTCTCCCTGCCTTCGTCTTGAGTCAGTCAGTCTTGTAGTAACTAGGAGAACTAGGTGAAAATTTTCAGGAGTGATGTGCACCATTGCATTCTTCCTTGAGTAACAGAATGACTGGTCCAAGGTCACCCAACTGTTCTTCATGCCTAGGGTAGAACTAGAAGTTAGATTCCTGTTCCTAGTCCACCACCTTAGCCACTAGACCAAACTGGGTCTTAGTTGGGATGAGATGATAGAATTCTTTATGGATCATCAGATAAATATTCTGTAGGAATATAGACAGAAAATAAGGTGCTTTAAGCCAATGCTGTGTTGAAGAAAAGGAATCTTACAGCTTAGATCTGTGGGATGTTTCTGATGCCTTTTTTATACAGACACAAATTTTGACAATGAATTTTGATTGTATTTTGGTCCTACAATGTGTACGGTTTACTAAAATATCCAAGAGGAAATTATCAGATGTGTCTTTCGTACATTGGGATATGAGATCTAATTTTCGGTTTCTTTTAAGGTTAGTTAGTTAATAGGGTCTGTGGTATTCATAGTTGATCAGCAAATAATTAGAAGAAAGTAATGAGAAAAAGAGATATGTGAGAGTTCCTAAAAAAAGAAGACCAGAAAGTATCAATACAAACAATTTCAGTAATGGAAAAAAATGAAAAACATCAAAAGAAGCTCCAGCGTGGTTACATAAAAAGGGGGGGGAAAGCATAACAATGTGAGAAGGAAGATGATGAAAGAAAAGCACGTGCAGGTATCTAGAACTATAAATCTAATTTCAGGAAGCTAAAACTCAGAATTATATGAGATCATTAAAGGATGCTAAGAATAATGGCTAAGAGAGATATGTTCAAATTACTAGTTGCTGAGTGAAAGTGGCAAAATTCTAACAAGTAACAAAGAAAAGACAAAGTTTCCCAGTTCTTTAGTCCTCTCCACCAAGAATATTATGTATGTATTGTATCCAATTAGGAAGTGGCGAAAAGCAAAATAATGGGCAGAGTTAAAGCTTAGAGATTGATAGAATAATGGTCAGGAGCTATGTACTTTGAATGAGTTTAAATCTCCAGAGTTACTTAAAATTGCATGCATATTGGAAAATCATTGAATTGACATGACTGGTGATTGGCAAGTATTGTTTCTATCTCCCAAATTGGGAAAGAGGCTAATTCAGGGAATTATTTATCATTCACTCTGATGTTGATACCTGAAAGCATTTCTAGAGTTTTTTATTCTTAGCATACAGTTAAAACATTCTAGAAGGACAAAGATATGTGAAAAGCTTTAATGATACATTGAATCAAGTGATACAGTTTCATAATACAATATCAAGTTGCAGAGCTATGCTGAGAGCCTCTGTTTCATAGTAATTTTATTAAATGCAATTAAAAAGCTAAGAACCAGTACAAATTAAAAGAATAAAAATAACAAAAAGTATATGAAAAAAGAAATTACTTATTCTTTATAACAAGTATAAGTAACAGTGACAAATCACTTTCTCTTAAAATTCATCAAATCTGTTCTCTCATCTCTTTTCTAATGTCCTAGATAGAATGTGGGTTTTTTTCTCATTTTTTCCTTGTCCCTTTCTCACAATATTCTTTGAAAACTGTAACAACCCTCTCTTGTAAATCCTGTATAAGAAAATTAGGCAGGTCGGTTATTTGGTTTAGCAAGTTATTTGAATACCCTGTGTAGTATTTCCTTCCACAGCATTGCCTATCCTTTTTAAACCCACTTTCAAAGTTTGTTCTTTTTCCATATAATCTTCCAAACACAATCTGTATAAAATGGCAGAGATTTTTAAAATTAATTTCCGGTTCCATTGTTCATAAAAAAGTTTTTTGCTTTGTTCTGTACTAATAAGTCAAATTTAAGTGTTTTTCTCATTTAATTGTAATCTTTAATTCCTACTGGTTCCCTCTAGTGTCCAACCTTCAAAATCCCATTTATATATATATTATTAAGTATTCAAAACAACAGCATTTTCCCATAAGAAGGATTCTGATAATTAATTCCAAAATCTTATTTCAAATCCATTTGGGCCTTAGCTCTAGTACCTGGAGACAGCAGAAGAGAAAGAACTGGAGAAAATCACAAAATACAAAGACCTGAAGATGGAAGTAGGATGCCTATGACAAAAGAAAGCACAGATTATACCAATCATAAAAGGCACCTTGGATGCCATCCCCAAACATTTGGAGCACCTCATGAACACCATCTATAACATCACCATCAGTCAATTGCAAAAGACAGCTTTACTAGGAACAGCTTATATCTTGCAATGATACCTTTAGCACTGTCAAAGAACAACATCTGCCTTTCCCAGGTCCTTGGAAAGGACTTGATAGAAATATAAGAATGCCAAATCTAAACATCTGGGTGATTGTATGACAAACCATATTTTAAGTCCTTAAACTTGTATGAAACTTCTTTTATTAAAGATTGAAGATAACTCATGCAGTGTAGTAAAACTTGCATGAAAGTAGCTAATATTCAAAAAGTGGTTAACAAGCAATTTCTGCTTTTTGAAGCTATTGAACCATGGTTTGGGCTAGGCTGCTTTATTATTTGGCTCCCATCTTACTAGCGAAAGCAACTCTGAGTAGCAACTGCCTGAAGCACTTGTGGAGAACCCTAGTCCTCCTTGTCCAGAGAGGAATAACACAGCCTGTCCATTCACTGGCTCTTTATTCCACTACAAGTGTCAGATCCACTCTCACAGAACTATCTTTAGCTTGCCATTTCTTCTTCAGAAGTGATGAACTTTATGCTAAGAGCTTCTCAATAGTAATGGCAGTGGAACAGAATTTGGTCTTGGGCGTTGAATTTGACTAACTTAACAGCTGCCTGACATAGGACTTAAAAATATTGGTCAGGTATGTAAACAGGCCACTATTACATCAGAATAAAAAACATCTTATTTCAGTTTTGCTTTTCAACATTTTGGCTTTTGAAAAATCAGAAGACAATATAATATTTACCATTTGTCAGGCTGGAATGGTGAAGAACAAGTATGGTTAAACTAACCTCTATTGGGAAAAGGTTCCTTAATAGAATATGAGAATGCCATAAATATAAATTGACATGACTTTAGCAAGGTGTTTGATAAATTTAATGCATTAGGCTTGACATTCTGATTACCAAATTGTTAATTGTGGACTGGCTGACAAATAGATACATACCTGGCTCAAAAATTATATTCAAAAAGTGCTCTTTTATAATTCATTAAACTGCAAAGAAATATTGGCCTGAGATATTGTGCCCTTCAGGTGTTGTTTTTGTAATGCTCTCGGTCATTTTGAAGAAGCAGAAGAAATGCTGATCAGATTTTCAAATCAGGCAAAATTGAGAAGAATAGCCAATGTACTAAAACATAGAAATCAAAATCAAAATGTGGTGATCCATTAGCGAAATAGGCTAAGAATACTCAAAATGTTTACAGTGCTGAGTATAAAAATTTTCTTCAGAAATTAAAATCAAATGCATATGCATAAAATTGGCTTGGAAATCATACTTTGGGGAAAAAAATCTCAACATTGTTGATTACCTTTTCCTTTCGTTAATTCAATTTCAATGTGGCAGAAAGGCAAATGCAATTTTAGAGGCATCAGCTGAGATTGTATCAGATGTATTGAAAATACAGTTTTAAAATCATGGGAAGTAATATACCTTGTACTGACTAACTAGTCAGGCTCCTGTTAGAATACTGTATTCAATGCACCACTTAAGAAATATTAAGAGAAATTGGAACATGTTCAGAGAAGAGCAAAAGTAACAATGATAACAATGGATTTTAATTATAGGAAGTCAAATTCCAATCAGTGTCAGAAAAACATCTTAAGACAAAAAGAGTAGTTTCACTTGCTGCTCTGGCTCTCAGCCATAATGCATTCTCAGCACTTTTCTCAGCAGTATTGGTTCAGAATTTGATTGTTGCCATTAAAATCATACATGATGGACATGGCAAGACATAGAACTGTGGTGGTGGTGTTTTTTCGTTCAATCATGTCCAATTCTCAACATGGACAAATCCCTGAATTTTTCTTGAGATGTGATTTGACATTGCCTTTTTCCTAGGGATGAGAGAAAGTGAGTAGCCCAAGGTCAACTAGCTGGCTTTGTGCCTAAACCAGGAGTAGAACCTTTCTAGCCTGATGCCTGCACCTCTACACTAAACCGGATCGTACATTTCCTGATCCAATGGCCAAAGCGACATTGATGGATTTTCTTCCTTAGGTTGTCTAATTCATTTTTTATTGATAATCATATTTTAGGTGGGCAAAAACAATTTTGTATACACTGATTTTAAATAATCATTGAGTCCCTAAGTTACTATTCTTTTGCTAGATACACTGTCTCAATAAGTGGGAGAATTTTTATGTTTTTTGTTAATAATATTACATATTAATATGAATTAGAAGAAAGTTTGATGTATGAATGTTGGTAGTTGTTATATTGTTGTGATAAATTCAGCTAACAAATTGTTTGGAAATACAATTGAGTATGAATTTTTTATTCTAAAAATTTCATACATGAAGCCTATTTTTTAAAAATATGATCCTTGTAGAGGAGTGTTAAGATGACGATATGTGTCCTCTAGTTCTGATATATAATTTATGTGACTATATTAAAAACAATAGGCT